TGTTGTCTGTAAGTTTCTCATTATACAACTTTAATTCTATTGAGATAAGTTCCTTTATGTCCTACTCTCTGGGACGATAGATAGATAGATAGATAGATAGATAGATAGATAGATAGATAGATAGATAGATAGATTGATTTAACAAAGCACAGAAGTGGATTTAGAGACAAAAAAAAATCACCTAATCTCAGTAGATACAGAAAAGGCCTTTGCCAAATTTGAACTTTCAACCTTACTGTGATTGACTGCAAGTAGGGAGCTATAGTTTTTTTTTCTTTCTTTGATTTTTTGATGTGAATTGCAACTTTTCTAATTTATTTTTTTCTTGGATTTTGAGAGATTTAGTTCGCATCAATAAGTATAAAGTTTCTGCTTTATTAATGACCAGTTGATCCAATGACTATAGTTGAATCAATATAATGGTACCTTGTGGGAGAAATCAGTGATTAAGTCCAACTCACATGAGACATACAAAATTAAAAATCCTTATGAGATAGGACAGTCAAAGTGTATTGATGGTCATGCTAGCTGAAAGCAAGTTTCTTTTTATGGCCTTATGAATAAATAAGTACAGAGGAAATATTTTCAAGATCAGTTTTTCAGGCAATCTTCAATCATAGGAAACAAAATGGTGTCTAAGTAATTTTAAGCAATATAATTTTTATTATAAGAGAATGAGATCCTTTTATTAATCAAAACTCAAAGTTAAAACATCAGAAAGCTTCATGCAAATCTCTCCAATTTTGGTGTAACAGCTTTCCTCACCCAATACATTTTTTATTATCAGCAAAGGCAAAAATTGGAATGCACAAGATGAGTGCTGGCCAGTGATTTCTTGTCATTTAATTTTGATTAGAATCTTGTCATTCTTGTTTAAGGGACCATGATATGTATTTGTAGGTCTGTCTTTGTGTCTTGTTTTGCCTATGGTACCATCTATATTGTTGAATTTATTAATTATCATCTAAATTTATTGTTGTTTCTCTGGAAAATGATGGATCTTCATCATTCTATTTTTGGAAAATTTATTATATTATGAGGTCCCTGTGCTTTTCTTGGTTTAGGAAGTTTCTGTGGAGAGACAGTTTTAGTTTTCTCTTAGAGTCTTATTTTTCCTCATTTTCTTGACCTATGTGTGTTTTCGAGTTCTTCATGTTTGATATGGTTAATATATTGGTTTTGTGTTTGAAAAATCTCATATCTGCTTTAATTAGCTTCAGCTGTCAACATGATGTAGCTTAGAGTCATCTGAAAGAACATCAATTGAGGCTTTGCCCAGATCAAAATTGCTACTTACTATGTTTAGGGAAAATTGTGTTGATTGATGATTGATGTAGGAAAGCTCTTCCACCAAGGTTTTAATACTCTAAGCAAGTAGGACTGAGAGGGATAAGAAAACTAACTGAGGGGCTGGAGAGATGGCTCAGTGGTTAAGAGCATTGCCTGCTCCTCCAAAGGTCCTGAGTTCAATTCCCAGCAACCACATGGTGGCTCACAACCATCTGTAATGAGGTCTGGTGCCCTCTTCTGGCTGCAGACATACACACAGACAGAATATTGTATATATAATAAATAAATAAATAATAAATAAATAAATAAATTGGTGGTGGAGTGGTTCCACTTTAAAAAAAAAAAAAAAAAAAGAAAACTAACAACATGAGAGAGTGACTAAGCAAGAGAGAAAGCCAGTAAACATTTTTCCCTGTGTCTCTTGCCTTCAGTTCCTAACTTTAGTTTCTATACTAAGTTTCCACAATTGTGGGTCATGATCTGGAAATATTAGTCAAACAAACCTGTTTATTACTTCAGGTGGTTTTATTTAGAAAATTTAATCACGGTGAAAAACAAACAAATTAGGTAAAAATGCTGTATGCCAAAAGTGATTCTTTTGCTGGGTAGAATGTGGGAATGTTGTCTTTTGGAGGAATGTGGAAGATATTAGAACTTTAGATGGCAAAAGGCACAGGAAACTGTACACAGAGCTTAATTAGCTATTCTTGTAGGACTAGCAATATGAAAGTGGTGAACATAGTGCACACACTGGAGCTTGAGTTCCTAGAATTTCAGGGGCAAATAGACTCCATGAACATTTTATCTATAGGTCATTTGTATATTTTGTTCCCAAATCATTTATATTTTCTCCATTTCCTGAGAAATTGAATAAGGGAAAACTAAAAAGTAATTGGGTGGTTTCTTAGACAAAGTATTGATTCTGTTGGGTGCTTATTGCTGATGACTTATTTAGGTCTACAGCAGAAAAGAAACAAGTGGTATAGAAAGAAATGAAGTCAGTTTCATGGAGAAAAACAGAACTAGGAAGATTCAAATGGCTGTCCTGTGGTGAAAAAGAGGGAGAAGATTTCAAAAAGTTTAGATCCATTAAAGAGGAGGCCCTTCTCATCATTTGAAGTCTAGGAAAGTAGCTTAGGGTAAGATTCCATCCATCTAAGTCTTCAGTTTCTCAATGGAATAGGCAACTTGATTCCTAATCTGAAGAAGCAACTTCTTCCAGAAGCTGCTAGAACTCTGATCCAAGCATGGAAGCAGCCATAACAACTTAAAAGCCAAATTGGGGAGGGGGGGTGGTAACCCATGTTGAATTTTTTTTTCTGGAAACAAGAAAGAATCAAAATTTATAGGTCATAGATTCTTCCTCTTTAGTTTCAGTTCAGCACTGTAGCAGAGTCAGAAGCCCAGTGAGGAGACAGACTTCATTGTATGAAGCTGTAAAGATTGAAGACAGAGTTGTATTTTGAGATGATAGGATGTTGAGATACCCAAGCTATGAGAGGTCTGCCGCGGAGAGTTACATACAGGAAGTAGAAGTAGCAAAGGAGATATATGAAATTTTTCATGGATAGAGCTATCTAAGCCCTGTAAAAGTGAAGCCCCCCTGTCTGAGGCAGAGCTATGGGGTTTGTTGTTTGCCCTGCTGTTTGAGTCATGCCTTGAACCAATCTTCCCTCACTGTGTCCACATTTCTCTCTTATTTCTTTTTCCAAAATTTATTCTTTTTGTAAACAGAAACTGCTTGCTCATTTCCCAGGCACCCAGACCCAAATAATCACACAGAAACTATATTAATTATAGCACTTTTTGGTCTATTAGCTCAGGCTTCTCATTAACTAGTTTTTTTTTTTTTATCTTAAATTAACCCATTTCTTAATCTGTGTGTCACCACATCCTACTGGTAAAGTTCTGGGTGGTCTTTCTGCTTTTGCAGCTACATAGCATCTATTAGGCTCTGCCTACTCTCTCTGTATATCTCTTTCAGCCTGACTATATTCTGCCTTGCCATAATCCAAAGCAGCTTTACTCATTAACCAATAAAAGCAACACATATACAGAGGACGGCTCACATCACTTCTCTTACAATTTTAACTGCAGTTTCCCCTCCCACCATTACTCTCAGTCCTCTCCACTACTCCCTTCTTCACCAGATCCAATTAGTCTCTATTTCCCTTCAGACTAGAACAGATATTCTAGGGATATTATTAAAACCATGGATAGCAAATTGCAATAAGACTAGGCACAAATCCTCATATCAAAGGCTTGGAGGAGGCAACCTAGTAGGAGGAATATATTCCAAGAGCAGGCAAAGGAGTCAGAGAAACCCCCCCCACTCCCACTGTTAGGAGTTGCACAAAAACACCAAGCTACACAATGATGACATATATGCAGAGGATTTGGTGCAAACTCTTGCAAGCTCCATGATTGCTATTTCAGTCTCTGTGAGCCCCTGCAAGCCCTACTTAGTTGGTTCTGTGGCCTGTATTCTTCTGTGTCCTTTTAGTTAGGAAAGATTTTGACTATGAATGTTTTGGAAAATTTTTTCCTGGCCTTTGGTGTGAGATTCTTCTCCTTCAATTCCTATTATTCTTAGGTTTGGTCTTTTCATAGTGTTCCAGATTTCCTGGATGTTATTTTTCAGGAAATTTTAGGTTTATCATTTTCTTTGATCAATCTACCTATTTCTTTGATCATGCCTTTAAAGTCTGAAATTCTCTGCTCAATGTGTTGTATTTTGGTGAAACTTGTCTCTGCAGGTCTTATTCGATTACCTAGATTTTCATTTTCATAATTCCTTCAGTCTGCACTTTTTAATTACTCTTATTTCTATTTTCATGTCTTGAATAGATTGATTCATTTCTGTCAACTGTTTCTTCATTTATTTTTTGGCTTTCTTTAAGGGTTTTTTTTTCTTTAATTTTCTCCAATACTTCATTTATCCTTTCTCTGTTTTCTTTAAGGGATTCATTTACTTCCTCTTTAAGGAGTTCTGTCATCTTTATAAAGTTGTCTTAACTTAATTGTGCTTGAACTGTGTTAGAATATTCAGGGCTTGCAGTAGTAGCATAGCTGGAATATGGTAGTGACTTATTGCTCTGGCTGTTGTTGGCTGTATTTATGCTTGTGTCCAGTATTTGGGTTTGAGGTATTTGTGGGTCTAGGTGCCAATTTCTCAGTTTGTCTTTGTTGCATGGGTGTTTTGTTCCTTGCTCTCTAGTTTTCTGATTTATGTGGCCTATGGTTGAACAGGGGTCTTATCCTAAGTTGGGGCTGGAAATCTTAGAGAAGGTGTGGCCTTGGCTCCAGCATGAGTATCTACCCATGTTTGGGGCTGAAAAATGGGGAGAGGGTAGGAAACTTGGGGATAGTGTTGAGGGGAGACTTAGAGAATGAGGAAGGTCAGTTGGAAGGTGGCCTACATAGACTTCTTGCAGGTAGTGTATGGGTCTCCAAACAAATTGGAGGCTACAATACAAAGATGGGATTGGGCATAGTGTTGTGGGATTATTGAAAGAATAAAGAAGGTACACAGTTTTTCTATATGGTGTGTGTGTGTGTGTGTTTGAGTTTTTTTTTTTTTTTTTTTTTTTTTTTTTTTTTTTTTTTTTTTTTTTTTTTTTTTTTTTTTTTTTTTTTTTTTTTTTTTTTTTTTGGCTGATGTGGCCTGCACTTGAGCAGAGGCTATGCATCTGATATAGGGGTGGGTAAATGGATTTAGAGGTAGCAGCTGTAGGGTGGTTGGAGGGTTATGTCTATGGAAATGAAGGGAGTGTAGAAATTGCATGGACTGGTGGTCTACCTATCTCTTCTTCTGACTGGTATGACAGGCACATTAGTCTGCCTAAATTGGGAGCTGTAACACAGTCATATTTCTTTTTTTTCTGAATGGGAATATGTCTTCTGACATTATATATTTTAGATCTTTAATTTGTTTCTTGATTTTACAGCATGTGACAGTCAAGAGACTGTATTAAATGTTAAAAGAGACTATGGACATTTGCAATGTTTGGGCTGCTACAGATTATAAGGATCCTTGAACTTATACTAAATGCATTTTCATTTTTCTTTGTATTCTTCTCTCATACTATATATCATGATGGAATCATTCCCTTCCTCTACTCCTTCCAGTCCCTCCCCCAGAAAATCTCCATTGCCCCAGCTCCACTGCTTCTTTTTCCCTTAAAAAAAAAAGACTCCCAGGGATATCAAATACATCATACCCAGGTGCAATAAGACTAGGCACAAACTCTTATTTCAAGGCTAGACAAGGCAATGCAATAGAAGGAAAAGGGTCCCAAGAGCAGGCAAGAGTCAGAGACACCATGACTCCTACAGTTAGGAGATTCACAAATATCCCAAACTAAACAACCATAGCATGTATGCAGCCATGAAGACTCTGTAATTGCTTCATCAGTTTCTTTGAGCCACTATATGCCTACTTAGTTGCTTGTATGGGCCATGTTCTCCTGATTTCTTCAACCACTGAATGCTATAATACTCACACCCTCCTTCTACAAGCTTCCTAGAGCTCAAGCTAATGTTTGGGTAGGGATCTCTGCTTAGGATCCTATCAGCCCCTGGAAGAAGCCTCTTTAATTACAAGTAGGCCAGGCACCAATATATAATTATAGCAGAAACTAGTTATGAATATTTCATTGATATTTTTTCTTGGTCAACTGTATTTGGTTCTACCCCTGTTCTCTGAGCTATTCAAGTTCTGGTTTCTGGCCATCTAGGCAGTGTCAGTTATGAGCTTCTTCTCACAGCATGGGCTTCAAGTTAAACCAGTCATTTATTGGCTACTAAGAAAGCGCTGAGCCATCAGTGTACCAGCATATCTTGCCAGTATTACAAGTGTGGGTTGAATATTTTGTGGCTGGCTTGGTGTTCCAGTTCCACTGGGAGCCTTATGTGGTTACAGAAGATGGCTAGTTCAGCCTCCATATTCTTGAGTACTAGGAGTCCTCACTAAGGTCACCTTTATAGTCTCCAGAAAGTTTTCACTGCACTGTTTCCACATCCCCTGTTAAAAGCTCCCCTATTCCAGTCATCTCTCCCTGTCTTCTCCCCACCTGTCCCTTCTTCACTCACCTGATCCTTCCTGTTCCCATCCCCATCTGCCTCCAGTACACCCACAGGATCTATTTATTTCTGCTTACCAGGGAGATCCATGCATCTCCCCTAGAGCTGTTCTTGTTATTTAGCTTTTCTGTGTCTATGGATTGTACTGTGATAGACTGTGAGTACTGTGATTATACTTTACTTAACTGGTAATATCCACCTATAAGTGAATACATGCCGTGTTTATCTATGTGATTCTGTGTTTTATCACCTAGGATATTAAAGAACTCAAGAAACTAAACAACAAACCAAATAATCCAATTATAATGGGGAACACCTCTAAATAGAATTCCCAGTAAAGGAATCTAAAGTGACTGAGAAACCCTTGAAGACATGTTCAACATCCTTAGCCATCAGAGAAATGAATATCAAAACTACTTTGAGATTCCGTCTGACAACTCTTAGAATTGTTAAGATCCATAACACAAGTGACAGCTAATGCTAGCAAGGACATATAGCAAGGGGATTCATTGCTGTTGCAAGTGCAAACTTTTACAGCCAATGTGGAAATCAATATGTAGTCCTCAGGAAATTGGGAGTCAATCTACCTCATGACCCACCTATATCATATACCCAAAAGATACTACCACAAGGACATTTCATTTGCTCAACTGTGTTCATAGTGGCATTGTTCATAAAAGCCATAAACTGCTATATCTGGGAGAGATTGTGTTGATTGATGATTGGTGTGGGAAGGCTCCTCCACTGAGGGTGGCAATATCCCTAAGAAAGTGGGCTTGGGATACAAAAGGCACCAATCAGTGACTAGGCAAGAGAAAAAAGACTTGAAACAATCTTTGTCCATGCATTTTTGCCTTCAACTATTAGCTTTATTTTCTATCCTAAGCTCCAAAACTGATGAAGCCAAATTACCCCCACTCATTGCCTGAGCTGCTTTTGGTTAGAGGACTTAGAGAAACATAAATGAAAGTTAGAACAAAAAATGGAAAACCAAAAGTAATATTGTTGTTAGGCAGAACCTGGGAATGATGTCTCTTGGAAGAGTATAGAATATATCAAGACTTTAGGTGGTAAAAAAAAACATAGAAAATAGTACACAGAACGAAATCAGCTGTTCTTGTAGAATCAGAAAGATGGAAATGATAAAAGAAATGACAGAAAGTGGAGATTGAAATCATCGAATTTCAATTGAAATTGATTAAGCTAGAGGTCATTTGTGTGATATTTTGACTCCAAAATCTTTCTTTTTCTGCCTGGAAATTTAGTAAAGCAGAACTAAAAAAAATAATGAGCTAAGTCCTGAAATGGAATATTGAATGTGGTGGATCGTTATTACTGATGATTCATTCAAGCCAAAGGTGGAAAAAAAAAAAAAAAAACCAAGTGGGGCAGAAATAAATGAAAATAAAAAGGCAGTTTCTTATGGCAGTCAATTACTGGAACAGGCATAGATTTTCAAGGATTTTATCCATTATAGAGAAGGTCCTTGCTATGGAATGGAAGCCTAGCAAGGTGCTCTAAGGGTAAGACTCCATTCACATAAACATTCAACTTATGGAAGGGGTAAGCAAAATGATTTCTAGTTCCAGAAAGCAACTTCATACAAAATCTGCTACACATGTGGTCCAAGTGTGTTAGTGTCTATCCCAATTAAGAAGTTAAACTTTTCAGGATCACTCATCATGTACTGGTCCTGGAAATAAGAAAGAATCACAATTTAGTTTGTGGTTACAGTTCAGCATTGTTGCAGGCATCCATGTTTGACAGAGTCAGAAACCCAGTGAAGAGATATCCCGACCTGCAGGATACAAACGGGGGTCCCTGATAAACCTAGTGGAGAGGAATGAAAGGAGACAAGAGACATGAGAAATGATGGCAAAATGGGATTTCTGATCAAGCTGTCTAGTTTATTATTTCCTCAGAAGCTGTTATATAGCAAACAGGCAAGGGGGCGGGGGAGGTGTCAGGGGGAAGGGAAGTGTGTCGGGAAGCTCAAGTCTGCTGGAATTCAGGTCCAAAAACATCCCCAGCTGATAAGTAAATACTGAGGGTCTGTGATTGTTGACTAACAAAGGAAAATGCTAATGAGTTCCGGAGCCTGGTTCCTTCAGGTCTCTGCTAGGAGATAAGACACCAGTTGATTTCCTAGACCCTGCAGAGGGGATAGAGGTAAATATTTTTCTTAATTTGTGAGCTTAAGATGGCTGTAAACAAAATGCAGATCTCAAAATACAGGTCTTTGCTTCCAGCAAAGAGACTGTGAGAGTTCACTTCATGAAGCTGTGAGGATAAAACCTCTTGTTTTTACTCTTTTTTTTGACCTGCCACCCAGCTCTCAAATAAATGACACACACTGGGGCTTATTAATTCTTAGATATTCCTGGCCTTAGCTTTTCTTGTTTCTACCCAGCTTTTCTTAACTAATTGTTCCATTCTACCTTTTGCCTCTGGACTTTTATCTTTATTCTGTATACCTTTCTTCTTACTCTGTGGCTTGCTGTATAGCTGGGTTGCTGGCTCCTGTTTTCCTCTCCTTTTTTATCCTTCCTTTTTCCCCCCAGGATTTCTCCCATTTATTCTCTCTGCCTATGAGCCCTTTCTATTCTTCCCTGTCAAGCTATTGACTGGTCAGTTTATTATTAGGCAAATCAGGTATTTTAGACCCACTAAGTATCACACTTTCACAGAATTAAACAAATGCAACATAAAAGAATGCAACACATCTTTGCATCATTGGAACAAATGTTTCACAATATAAACAAATATGACACATCTTACAATAATATTCTACAACAGCAAGGGTTGTATTTTGATACAGCCTAGGTTGCATTTTGATATCACAAGATATTGATATGCCTAAACTTTAAGACATCTTCTATGGAGAACTAACTGAATATAGGGAATGGAAGTAACCAAAGAGAGAAATGTATGAGAAGATGCAGGGATAGGGCCATTTTTGCCCTTTGAAACTGAAGCCCTGTGCATCTGAGACAGAGCTACAGGATTTGATGTTTGTCCTGCTATGCTTCAGTCTTGCCTTGGTTCAATCTTCCCTCACTATGTCTCCATTTCTCTGTTTTGGAGTGTAAAAGATATTCTGTACCATTGTATGTTGAAAAGATGTAACTTGTTTTCTGATTTTACAAGATGTCACTGTCAAGAGATTGTCTTGAGTGTCAGAAGAGACTTTGAACATTTCAACAGTATACGGCCTGTTGCAGATTATGAGTATCATTGAAGTGACTAAATGCATTTTCTTCATTGGTGACCATGAGCCTATAGTGATCTGAGTCAGAATGTAAGTGGTTGAATAAAAAACTCCCCAGATAGAAAGATGGATTTGAGCATGTGCCTCTTCTTGGCAAATTTCATTTGATTGTTTGTGAAATCAATAGGAGGAGGAGCCTTTCTCGATGAATTTCTTCATTGGACATGTGATATGAGTTTCTATAGCCTCAACCCATTTTCTGTTCTTTGTGCCTGCTGTGTTGTGGTTGAAACTAATTGGTCAGCTTTCTTCTTTTGCTGTCATAACTTCCCCACCATCATAAACTCTGTCACTAAATCACGTAAGAGTCAGTAGAATTAACTGCTATTCAGTGCCAAAACAGTTTGGTAGCCTACAATTTTCATTTTTGTTTGCTTATTTTTGAATTCAAGGTTTGTCTGTGTAGCCCTAGCTATCCTGAAAGTAGCTCTATATACTAGGCTGAGTTCAAACTCAAAGATCCTTTAATTCTGACTCCCAAGTGCTGGGATTAAAGGTAGTCCAACATTCCTGGCTTTTTGTTTTTATATTGTTGTATGATGGTTTTGTTCCTATCAAGCATATGGTGTTGTAGTGAGTTACACCTATATCTTGAATTTTAAAATTTGATAGAGGGTTTCATTATGTTTCCCAGAATGGCATGTATTCATGACATTAATACTACCTGTGCGTTCTGAGTCATTGGATTACAGGTACATAACCTTCTTCCTGCCTGTTTTGTTTGTTCTGAATTTTTATTTTAAAAAAGAATATTTTTGTAGTAGGAGGAGGGTGGCCCTTTGTTCCCTCCTTGGTGACAAGGATGGGATTGCTTGTTGTCCCAGCTAGTTTACACCTGAAATAATCACACAGAAACTATTAATTTAAACACTACCTGGCCCATTATCTCTAGCCTCTTATTGGTTAACTCTCACATCTTGATTTAACCCATTTCTAGTAATCTGTGTATCACCACAAGGTTGTGGCTTAGCAGGAAAGATGCAGTGTGTCTGATATTGACAGCTCCATGGCGATTCTCTCTGACTCTGCTTTCTTCATTCCAGAATTCAGTTCTGTCTACTCTGCCTACCTTTAAGTATTTTACTTGAATGCATGGATATACACCATGTGAGTACCTGGTCTTTACACTGATCAAAAGATGGTGTTATAACTATCCATTGTTCCAAGTTTAGGGTTTATGATCCCACGTGTAAGTCCTTGAGCCCACCTGTATACAAGACCAGGAGGACTATTTACTGTTGATCCATCTTTCCTGCTCTGTGTTATTTGTAATCAGCATATTAATTACTATTGTTTACATTTGTCCATCTGTAACTTTTAAAACACACAGTGCCTTTTAGTCAAATCTTATTTATGTTGCAGTTTAGATTGGGGCTCTTCAGGTTTCTGGTAGATGAATAAAGAGTTGAAGTTAAAGCATAACTCTTTGTAGAAACTTCAGCAAAAACCTATGAGTTATTTCTATCTTTTATGTTTGATATTTTTCATGTAAAACAGGTATTTAATATGTATTTCTGGCTGTCCTAGAAGTGATTGCATGGATTGGGCTGGTATTGAACTCAGAGGCAGATAGATATACATGCCTCTGCCTTCTGAGTACAAGGATTAGAGGACTGATTCAATAATCTGGCTTTTTTTATCTTATGTTTTCTTTTTTGTAGTTAGGAATTAATCATTCATACAATTTCTCTTATCTATACTCTGTACTGTTGATCTGTTTATGCATCTTTCATTGTTGGGTAGTAGGCATTTCTCTTCCAAGGTGCTATCCTGTTCAAAGGGTTCAGAAATGACCGAGGTGAATCTCCTATTCAGTTTGCTTCTAAAGTGACTTGTTGATTAAATTATGATGTCTATGTCATGGAATAAGTATGGGGAGCACCAGAATTCTATGACTATACTGTCAAAGAAGTATACATTTATAATGTTGTCAAAATCATGCTTTCTGTTGTACACATGTATGGGATATTTTAGAATGCAGTGACCTATGATGATGTGCATATCAACTTCACTTGGGAAGAGTGGACTTTACTGGATCCTTCACAGAAGAGTCTCTACAAAGATGTAATGCTAGAGACCTACAGAAACCTCATTACTATAGGTAAGACTGAACTATCTTTCATGTTTCAAATAAGGGGACAACTGTTGATTGGTTAATGATGCTGTTTTGTAATATGATTGAGAAAGAAGAATGGGGTAATTAAATTAAGATTCTGTAAGGTTTACTTCAAATTATAACTAAATTTTTTACAATTTTTAATATATAACGAACATTTTTTTCTGGCAATATATTTTAGGATACAGTTGGGAGGACCATAATATTGATGAACATTGTCAAAGTTCTAGAAGACATGAAAGGTAATTTTCATGTATAAGGTGATACAAATGTACCTATGAAGAATTTGTAAGGTATCCAAATGTTTTACACAAAAAGAACAGTGCAAATTATTAATATGAATTGATGATTATTAATTTCTCACAAAATCATATACCTTAATTTTAGATAGGTGAACTGCATTTGTAAGTCATTCTTTCAAAAAAGAAGTCAAGGAAGCAATGTCTTAAACTATATTACCATTTGAATCATGATATTATGAAAGCTATTCTGTAAAATTGTCAGTTTATTTCATATTACTCATAGTAATGATAAGTATATCTGTAAGCCTCTGTATTACACTAATAGTCCATAGAAAGGGTAGTTTAACACATATACTTGTGATTGTGTTAAGTTTAGTGAGGGGGCAGTTAGATTCATGAATCAAGGAGCAGCTGTTGTAGAGAGGCCTTAATCTAGATAGCACAAGTCTATGAGAACAGAAAGTCAAACTGTGAACTCAATATGGAAGCCTTATATTTGTTATTCTTCCTTTATTAAGTATATCATATGTTCCTCTGGATACAAGCCACATGAGCATAGGGATGTGAAAAGATAGAACATACCTCTCCCTCAGAACAAACAGAAGATATGTAGCAGTCCCCATGTTGAGTATACTTGTTGAATTTGATGTACAGGTATACAAGTAATTGGTTTTCTAGCCTCATTGTTAACATATCAACAAGGTCACATTTCAGAAAAGCACCATGAGTACTCAGACTGTGTAAATATTTCTGTTTGTCCTAGTACACTCAACAAATAAAATTTCACTCACAGTATAGGAAAGTTTATAAATGCAATAAGAGTGGTAAAGCTCTGAGATTTTTCAGTTATCTTCAAATACATGAAATTTCTCATACAGAAAAAAAGATTCTGTAAATGTGAACCATGTAAGAAAGGCTGTTATCAGTAATCTTCAAAGATGAAAAGCAAGCCTTAATGAAAGGGAAAAACATAGTGCTAAAACCTTAACATATAATTCCTCTTTAAAATATGACTAAGATGTAAAATTAATGTATACAGATAAAAATATTCAACAATGTAGTAATGCTTTCACATGTACCATTATTATTGTAGGCATGAAAAAAGTCAAACTGGAGAGAAAACTTCTGTATATACTCAATGTGTTAAAGACTTTGCATGTGACAGTCATCTTCACAGGCATGAAAAAACACACACTAGATTGAAACCTTATGAAGGAAATGAGTGTGGTAAAGCCTTTTCACATCACAGTCATCTTCAAATGCATAAAAGAACATACAGTGGAGAGAAACCCTATGAATGTAATCAGTGGGGTAAAGCCTTTGTGCAGCACAGTCATCTTCAAAGTCATGAAAGAAGTCATACTGGAGAGATACCCTATGAATTTAATCAATGTGGTAAAGCCTTCGCATGTCATAGTAATCTTCAAAAAAATAAAAGAATCCATACGGGAGAGAAACCCTATGAATGTAATCACTGTGGGAAAGCCTTTGCACAGCACAGTCACCTACAAAGTCATGAAAGAAGACAAACTGGAGAGAAGCCCTATGAATGTAATCAATGTGGTAAAGCCTTTGCATATCACAGTAATCTACAAAGACATAAAAGAACCCATACTGGAGAGAAACCCTATGAATGTAATCAGTGTGGTAAAGTCTTCGCACTTCCCAGTACTCTTCAAATACATAAAAGATCACATACTGGTGAGAAGCCCTATGAATGTAATCAATGTGGTAAAGCCTTTGCACAGCACAGTCACCTTCAATGTCATGAAAGAAGACACACTGGAAAGAAACCCTATGAATGTAATCAGTGTGGTAAAACCTTTGTATGTCATAGTAGTCTCCAAACACATAAAAGAACCCATACTGGAGAGAAGCCCTATGAATGTAATCAGTGTGGTAAAGCCTTTATATGTCACAGTAGTCTCCAAGCACACAAAAGAACACATACTGGAGAGAAATCCCATGTATGTATTCAGTGTGGTAAGGTCTTTTCATATCCCAGTTATCTTCAAAGTCATGAAAGAAGTCATACTGGAGAGAAACCGTTTGAATGTAATCAATGTGGTAAAGCCTTTTCACAGCATGGTCATCTTCAAAGTCATGAAAGAATCCATACTGGAGAGAAACCCTATGAATGTAATCAGTGTGGTAAAGCCTTTGCACATCTCAGTCATCTACAACGTCATGAAAGAATCCATACTGGAGAGAAACCCTATGAATGTAATCAATGTGATAAAGCCTTTGCATGGCGCAGTAATCTACGGAGACATAAAAGAACCCATACTGGAGAGAAGCCCTATAAATGTAATCAGTGTGGTAAAGCCTTTGTATGTCACAGTAGTCTCCAAACACATGAGAGAACACATACTGGAGAGAAACCCTACGAATAAAATCAATGTGGAAAAGCCTTTGCATGTCACAGTAATCTCTGAAAACAAAAGAACCCATATTGGACAGAAACATTACGTATGTAATTAGTGTGCTAAAGGCTTTGTTTATCATAGTCATCTTCAAAGACATGAACTAACACATGCTAGAGAGAAATCCTATGAATGTAATGAGTGTGGTAAAGCCTTTGCACTTCACAGTACTCTTCAAATGCATAAAAGATCACACACTGGAGATAAACTCTGTTAATGTAATCAGTGTGGTAAAGCATTTGCATGTATGAATAGTCTAAATCATGAGAAAAAATTCATACTGCAGAGAAACCCTTTGAATGTATTCAGTGTGGTAAAATTTTGTACTTTATATAGGAGTAAAACTTTTGTGAGCAACAATCTGTTAAAAATCTTTGCACATTACAATAGAGATTGACTACCTGAAAAAGATACTGAGGACTTCTTATTATAAAGTATTTGGTAAGATCTTTAGCCAAAACACTTACAATCAACTACATAATGATTTGGGATTTCCCTCTGTATGCTGTGAATGTATTTTGTTACCATTCTTTAATAAAGAAGCTGCTTTGGGTCTATGGCACAGCAAAATAGAGCAAGGCAGGAATTCCAAGCATAGAGGAAAAAAAAAAGTGGAGTCAGACTCCATGTATCTGCTGAAGGAGACAGATGACCTGGGAACCTTACTGGTAAATCACAAGTCTTGTGGTAAAATACAAAATAATAAGAATTTGTTAATTTAAGATGTCAGAGTTAGTTCGTAAGAATCCTGAGCTAATAGACCAAGCAGTGTTTTAATTAATATAGTCTCTGTGTGGTTATTTTGGGTCTGGGCAGCCAGGAATGAACAAAAATCCTCCACCTACAACACAAGACTATTTCTTCTGTAGAAATAAATTTGACAGTGTTAACAATCTTTTCAAGCATTATGATGTCTTTTTATACTGTTTGTACTTACAAATTCATGGTAAAATGAATTTGTGAATTTATCAAGCCCTATGTGTAGAGTAAATGGGCCAGGTAAAGAAACACATCCTGACCATTGAAATATATAATTTTGACTCTGAACTGGAGCTGAAGAAACACATCCTGACTCTAAAACCAAGACAAGGAAACACACTTTGATCCTCAATCCAGAGCCAATGAAAGAAACACACCTGACCCTGAAACCAGACTCACAGGGTTTTAAGGGGCCAGTGAAAACACACTTTGGCCCTGAAGCATGAGCCAATGAAACACACTCTACCCTTGACCAACTGAGCACAAAACCAACTAATCCCTAAGCTTGAGATCTACCAATCCCTAAGCATGAAATCCAGCCAATCTCTGCATTGTTCAAGATTAGAGATCAAATAAGATTATTAGGAAAATTATAATAGTAAACTATTGTCTTTTCTGATTGTAAATTTAATTTCATACAAGGATAGAGGAACATGGTATAATTTGAAGAATAAGTACTCTTTGCATAGGAGAATATTAATATGATCATACATCTTTTTAATTTGTTTATCCTGGGGACTAAGCATTTGTTTATAACACTTTCTCAAAACCATGATTGAATGCCAACGAATTGCCTCATTAATTAAAATTGGTTGCTGATAAGCCTGATGACCTGTGTTCTATCTCTGGGTGATCCATATTGCTCCTAAGGTTTTTTTTTTCTTTTATTTCTAAACTTGGGCAGTGGTATGTTCATATTCCTACATACATAAATAATTTTTAATCCTGAATAAGTGCAATTGAGGTCAATTGTAGTCAAATGAATCCCTAAGTTTCATTAGCAAAACTCACATGGGGGAAGAAAATAATAGACACCTATAAGTTGTCTTCTCAGTGCTACATACACATCATGGCACAGGTGTATACATACAAACACAGGTCAAACATTTTTACATGGACAAAGTTAATAAAGCAAAGAAAACCCAATTATTGAGCACATATTAAATGGTTGCACATTTCAACTATAGAATTTCAAGAAATATTACTGTTCATCATAACAATGATGGTCCCTTTTAAATTATACTTTATCCTTTCATTCTCTGATTCAATGATAGGTCATTTAAAAACATACCTCGGGGGCTAGAGAGATGGCTCAGAGGTTAAGAGCACTGGCTGCTCTTCCAAGAGGTCCTGAGTTCAATTCCCAGCAACCACATGGTGGCTCAACCATCTGTAATGAGATCTGGCACCCTCCTCTGGCATGTGGGCATACATCGAGGCAGAATGTTGTATACATAATAAATAAATCTTAAAAAAAAAACATATACCTCAACTGGATTTAGAGGTACATGGCTATAATCCCAGCACTTGCAGAATTGTGTTGGGCCAATCTCTGATTCTGTGGCCATCTTGGTGCCCATAGTAAATTCCATTGCAGCTATGGCTCTTTGGACATAACCTGTGTCAAAAATTCCAAAAATACAATCTTATCTCAAATTTTGGAACTTTTCCTAATATAATCTGGCTGGACTCTGACTGGTTTCAACAAAAGCTTTTATCTTACATCAAGAGAACTCTGTTAACAATGAAACTGAGTAACAATATGGAGAGGTAAAGAAATCCATTAAATTTGACAACCATCAAGAGGGGACTTTCCTCACCCTCAAGTGATAGGAGACAAAAGGAATAGTAGTTGGCCTCCTAGATATGCAAATGGTGGAAAGACTGCTATGTATATGATTACATATTGTTAAACAGGGTTTTCTTTGTGTGTCTATTACCTTAGAAAAAAATAAAATTTAAGTGTATAAGTTTTGCCAGTGAGTATACCAATGGCATGCCTGGAACCAGTAGTGACCAGAAGATGCAGTCTAATCCCCTGTGACTGGAGTAACTGACAATTGTAAGCTATATTTTGGTGCTGGGAATCAAAAGTCAGGCCCTGCAGGTGAGTAGCCAGTGTTTTAGGTGCTGAACCTTCTATTCAGTCCCATGATCATGTCATTAATAGCATTAAGGTGTGATTGGTTGATCTAAGTAACAGAAGACTCCCATCAAATGCAGCCTTCCTGCCTTAAGGTCCACTGTCTTCCAACTATGAGCAATATTGTTTTTCTTTATCTTTGTATTATAATTCATCAAGAGACTAGAGCACAGTACTCTTTATTCTACAGATGGGTGAAACCCAGGCTCATGGAGATCGATGGAGTTTTAATATAATTAAGTGTAACTGCTCATCTTACTCATCCCATCATTCTAACGAATGATTAAGTGGAGTTAAAGCCAACTAAGTCAAGCATGGTGGCACAGATGTGTAACCATGGTACTTAGAAAGTGGAGGCAGAAATTTCAGGATTTCAAAGTCATCCAAAATGAGAGTTGTCAGTAGGGTATGGTGGGAGGCCCATTGTACCTAGGGAGCCTGTGATTTGCTCAAGACAGTGCCCATAGTCATTCTTGCAGCCCTAGAACTTCAGAGCTGTGGCATCAACAAATGTTAGCTGAGGTATTTGCCATTCTAAGTTTTTTTTTTATTATTATTCTTGGTAATGTTTTCTGTTCAAGTCAGCCTAGGCCACTTAAGAGTCAGACTCATGTTGCTCAATAAAGATTAAAATTCTCCTACAATTGGGTGAATTAGCCTCAGGCAGGGATGAGATCCCTATTTGTGTATCTGAAACATGTTCAATTCTGAAACCATAACAAAACCAACAGAAATGGACCCAGCAGGTTTTATTAATATATTTGCATGTCCTTATTAACACAAACTTAAGGAAGGAATTAGAAGGGAAAATTTTGGAAATACATTTTAAATAAAAATGCAGCTTGCAAGATAGCTTAGCAATTAAGAACACTAAGTGTTTTTGCAGAGGGCACAGGTTACATTGCCAAAAACCATGGTTGCTAACCATCTCCTGCAACTCCAGTTCCAAGGGATCTGATTCACTTATTTGGCTTCTGCAGGTACTGCACAAAGACACCTGTGGGTAAACACCCATATACATAAAATAAAACTTAAAAAATAAGATTCTATACAGTAATGTCACAGACTTGAAATAAACACCAGTCAGGGCAGTTCATCAAAGAAGCATCTGTGGCCTTTCTCTGAGCCAGCTTTCTTGGAGGCAAAAGAAGGATTATTTTGAGGTTAGAATGGCTCAGAATAGCTGTTGACTTAAGAACAATCACAGTGTGGATAGGTGACTTTCCCATAACATTGTTTAATTTGTGTTCTATGTCCTTTGTATGTGTGAGGATTGTAGCATCAATACATCTTAAATGTATCTTTTAGATCGTATATTAAGATCTATTTATCTTTTAAGTCATACATTGTGATATATTTTATTTTGATCATAATGCATAATCTAAAAGGTAGTTTTGTTCTGTAAATCTCCATCTGCCCACGTGGCTAGACTTGCATTCTCCTGTCCCTATTTACACTGTTCAATGTATAACCTCAGGCCTGAACCTAAAAAAAGACTTAAGGATAACAGCGTATGTGGAGTGCAAAATCTGGACCAGGTTGTCTCCTCTTTTAGCATTAACCACCATGAATGCATACTCTTATTAAAGGAATTTATGTCTATTAAACTTTAAGTGTGTGAATGATTTATCACTGGGAAGACATATTAAGTATAGAATAGCAGTACCTCCAGCATTGTAGAAAAATGTTTCTGAGAAAAACATTTTTATGTTGGATTAGGTAGCCTTGATCCCACACCATTGCTCCCCAAGGTGTTGTCCTTGTAATTAAACTAAATTCTTAGATTAAGGAACACATGACCACTGAGCTCTAAAATTAAAAATTTGAGACATGTAGTCAACTGTCTATTTCAGGAACAGGAAAAGGATTTGTATGTGGAGCATGGCTTCCACCTTCAGACCAGAAGAGGAGGAATAGTTTATTGCATATATAATAGGTAGGCAAACAGCTCCTGGAGTCACCATTATGAAATAGGACTTGATTGTGACAGTATCAGTGATTCTGTAATTTCCCAGCATATGTTAATCTATCATGAGAATGAAGGCAGGCTAGATTTGGGCTGTATAATTCGGGAAGGTTAGCTTGAGTCAATAAATATTGACTTTCTAACAAGGGAACTCTCCTATATGTTCAATCCTGCCTGTCATGATTATATCCATTAGCTGTAGCTGTGTGTTTCAGGTCACAGGTCTCAGCAGCTGACATTGCACATAGGGGCATGGTGAAGTAATACCTTTTTAATGTCAGTCTCTCTACCAGGGAATGTTTTTCTCTATCTTTCAAAGTCAGTATAACTTATTATATTTATGTTTTTTAAAAAGATAATTGCTTTTTCACTTTTTAAATTTTATTGACTTTAAATGCATCACTGTTCTAATCTATTTGTTTCTATTCTATATTATTTCCAGGTCATTAAGAATTTCTTTCCATTTTTCTCAAATGATGTTGATTATTTATTTCTGTCTTCTGTAGCTTAGGCTTATCTCACACTATGTATTTGAGAATTGCTTTGAACACCTAATCCTGGTCCTGCTGCCCAGAAAGCTAGTCCTGCAACTGCTTCAAGACTGGGCCTTAACTGCTCAGTGAGAAGGAAAATAGATGAGTAAATGAGTGTCCTCCAGCTTCTCTGGATTTTATTGTGAACTTGCAAATGAAGAGGGATCCGTGTAAGAATTGAGTTCACTGACAAACTGTAAAGCAAGTGTAGTCCCAGCACAGAAGGGGATGGGCAAGAAGGAGCATGAAAGTTTCCCCCCTTAGACCATAGCTCACATTAGAAATAAGTAGTGAGGTAATCAATTTTAGATGATTATTAAATGTGCTGACTAGCCATTTCTTGCATCCACAGAGCAAGGAATCAATCTGGATAAAGAACA